AATATCGCTCGATCTCTGCAGAAATATCCATTATTGAGACAAATAACATATTAAATAGCCGATAAAAAATAAACATTTTAGGCTGAAGTTTAATCTGCATATTGTAATATGGGGATTCTGAGAATACCAGTCAGCCGCTTGTAAAAGTCTTTATTGTTCTTTCAAAACCAGGCAAACAAAAACTAAACACAAACAGTCCATGATTCTGTTATATTGAAATACAATGGTTAACCGCTAGTATACCAGTCCTACACCAGGGTGTAAGGTTCCCATCCACTTTGGGCTACAGGAGCTCAACAGACCATGTCTCATTACTCACAAGGCTGCGTACCGCTCTGCTCCACCTCACACACAGGTGCTGCCTCCTTCCTGTTCATTTTCAAGCCTTTCCTGCAGTTGGGATAACCCTTTCAAGATCAAAGTCCCTGTAATTAGGTTTGAGGTTTTTTACCACCCAAAGTCTCTCTGAGCCTCTGAATTCTGTGTCCCAAATGAGCACCACCAATCCTGAGAGAACTGTAAATCTGTTTTCCCTGCTGCAATCAACACCTCACCCGTCATGGAAGAGAATCCCTGAGTACTCAATAGAATGTCTTTTATCATCCCACTTTGGAACCACAACCCAAATATATTTTGCCTTCCCTGGTTCTGCCTTCCCCTCCCCTATCTACATGTTAATTACATTTTTAGTAAATTTTGCCCATAGCAAAAAGGAAGAAAAAGGAAAATAGCACAGGGCAGACATGACTAGGTTAAGAGGGGGGTAGGAAAGACAGGAAAGGGTTAAAGAAAAAAGGTGGCGTTAGAATATGGACAAGTTACCTAATTGGTGATGGGTGTGCAGGGTGGGGTCTTCAAAACCTTTGGGTGTGGATGGGAGGGTCATCCAATTCAGTGCAGGAGGAGACAGCAGTGCAGCAAGCTTCCCTCCCGCCCTCCCTTGGGGTGTGTGTGGGGGTTTTTTTCGATTCCCGGTTTTTGTTCTGGTTTCGGAGGGCGGTTGTTGATCTTTGGAGGCGGCACATACTTCTGAGCTAAAGCTAATATTTGGGACCCATCGGTGGTATGGTGTGCCCAGGTGCATCCAATTAACCGAGGTTTAACTGAAAGGTGAAGGTTCTGCACTGCGGATGGTATGTTTTTGTCTCCGAGCCGGTGCATTGTGGCTGGAGGCCTAGTTATAATATAGGTTCCGCAGGGGAATTTCAGTTTTTGTTTGGTGCCTTCAAAGACCAACAACTTCTCCTATATGTTTCTGTTTTAAGGAATGTTTTGTGTATTGAAGTTGAATTAGTAATAAAAGGCTGTGATGGCCATTTTACTCCAATCGGTGTTGTTTTCCTTTAATAGTATGTTAAGGGGGTATGTGAGAGAGTGAGACGGTGGTGTAGGGGGTCTTAACTAGCATGTCTCTTATACACTAGTCATGCATACCTGATTTTAGTTCCTGTGATCACATTGCTAGATCTCTGTATTTCAATAATTTAATGAACTCATCCCCATTATAACACATCATGCTGGGCATTTGGTAAAGTGGTGGTAAAGTCACTTTGTTTATTTTTACCTATAGGTAAGGCTTACCTATAGGTAAAGTCAATGTCTCCTAAACAGGCCCGGACTGCGACAGAAATAGGCCCGGGCATTTTGGACTGAGCAGCCTAAACCCTTTCCTCAGAGCCCAGTGGCGGAACACCAGGGAGCGATTGTAGTTCCGCCACTAGTGTCAGTAGGTTTTTATTTTTATTTTTTACAATTTTATATTTTAATTTTAAGAAAGAAGGACGAAAGAAAGAAAGGAAGAAGGAATGAGGGAAAGAGAGCAAAAAAGGAGGAAAAGAAAGAAGGAGGGAAGGAAAGAAGGCGGGAAAGAAGGAAAGCGGGAAGGAGGGAAAGAAGGAAAGAAAGAAAGAAAGAAAGAAGGAATGAGGGAAAGAGCAAACAAAGAAGTAGGGAAAGAAAGAGGGAGAGGAGGGAAAGCAGGAAGGAGGGAATAAAAAAGGAAGGACGGACATAAGCAAGAAGGGAAAGAAGGAAAGAAAGAGGAAAAGAAGGAAGGAGGGTAAAGAAAGAGGGAAAGAAGGGAAATAAGGAAGGAGGGAAAGAAGGAAGGAGGGAAAGAAGGAAAGAGGAATAGGAAGGAGGGAAAGAAAGAAGGAAGGAAGGAAAGAAGGACAGACGAAGGGAAAGAAGGAATGAGGGAAAGAAGCAGTGAAAGAAGCAAGGAGCGAAAGAAAGAAGGAGGAAAAAGGAGAGAAAGAAGAAAGGAGGGAAAGAAGGAAGGCGCGATAGAAAGAGGAAGGAAAGAGAGAAAGAAGGAAGGAGGGAAGGAAAGAGGGAAAGAAGGAAGGAGGGAAGGAAAAAGGGGGAAAGAAGGAATGGGGGAAAGAAAGAAAGAAAGTAGGAATGAGGGAAAAAAAGAAAGAGAGAAAGAAAGAAAGAAGACACAAAGCTGGTGGGAAGTGTTGGTGGGGCAGACACAGGAGGAGAGGGCAGGAGGAGGAGTGGCAGAACCAGCTTTCTCTCTCCTCTCCTGTCTGCAGGGACTGTCAGCACTGGAGAATTTACTGACAGATGCTCTGCAGCAGCTGCAGGGAAGGGGAACCCGGTGGCAGCACTGCAGGAGGTGAGGGGGGGTGGCCTCGGGGGGTGCATACAGGAGCCCAGGACTCTATCAGATGGATTGGAGGGGCAGCCAGGGCACACAGAGGAACCGAGAAATGCATGGATCAGTTCCTCTATGTGCCACCCTGCCGCCCCTCCAATCCAGACAGTCCTGGTCCCCTGGGCAAATGCCCAGTTTGCCCTATGGCCAGTCCAGGCCTGCTCCTAAATGTGCACCATTCAGGAGATGTTTACTTTTTACAGCAGCTGGTGACCTCACTGGCGCATGCGCTCTCAAGGAACGGCATATCCATTTTCACGCACAACCATCACTAGGGTTTACAGAGAATGGTCTGAAAAACAGAAAATACCCAGTGAGCGGCAGTTGCGTGGAGGAATATGCTTTGTTGAGGTCAGAAGAGAAGGGCAGACTGGTTAGAAATTATAGGAAGGCAAATGACCACTTGTTACAACCAAAGTATACAGAATACCATCTCTGAACGCACAACACATCCAACCTTGAAGCAAATGGGCTACAGCAGCAGAAGTCCACCCCGTGTGCCACTCCTGTCAGCTAAGAACAGGAGGGGTTGTATTATGCACAGGCTCACAAAAATTGGACAAGAGAATATTGGAAAAACGTTCCCTGGACTGATGAGTCTCAATTTCCTAGAGATGGTTGTGCGTGAAAATCCCAGTAGATCAGCAGTTTTTGGAATACTCAGACCAAGCCCGTCTGCCACCAACAACCATGCCACGTTCAAAGTCACTTAAATCCCCTTCTTTCCCATTCTGATGCTCGGTTTGAACTTCAAGTTGTTTTCACCACGTCTAGATGCCTAAATGCACTGAGTTGCTACCATGTGATTGGCTGATTAGCAATTTGTGTTACCAAGCAATTGAACAGGTGGACCTAATAAAGTGGCCGGTGAGTGTATATAGACCAAGTTGTCCGTATACATGAGGCCTAACACAAGGATAAAAGGACAGTAAACAATAACATACCATTAGAAGTATAACACGGAATACTACACTAGAATATGGCGGCCCTGCATATCTCCCAGTATTCACGCTGTGACCATTAACCCTTTGCTCTTCCTGATATGCAGGATACACTCACCCATTTGCGTATGGCCCAGGAAGGGAAAGCTCATTAGAATCAGAACTTTCATTGCGGTCCGTACTTGGAACTTTCCCCAGGACACATCTTGTTGAGTTATTTCTACTGAGACCCATATGAATCGACTGAACCCCACCCTGAGAACTTGTCTTCACCGTCAACCAACTACACTGATTTCACTTTCACTTTGTCAGGACGGAATGACGTCTGCTGCTATCTACCGCCACATACAAGTACTGCAGTCTCAACAAGGACTATTAAGGCTCCTATCACACCAATGTGTTTTTTTTTAGTGATTTTTGCAGAAACGCACTACAGTTAATTTAACATGGTTTCCTATGGGACATGTTCACAGCTATGCTTTTTTGAACTTCTGCGTTTTTGGAAAAGGGGAGGGGACTTTTTTAAAAGCAAAAAGCAGCATTTTTGCTACCAATGAGTTCAATGGAGAAGCTGCTGAAATACATGGTATTGTGTTTTTGCCACGTTTTGCATTTTTATTCTGCCCAGAAATAAAAAAAAATTCCACTCTGACAAAATAAAAAAAAAAAAAAGAGCTGAACAAAGTATGGCAAAAAAGTGTGTAGAAAAGCGCAAAACAAACTGCAAAAAGCATCAAATGCAAAATGCATATATGTGAAACAAGCCTAAAAGTGTATTTCCACGTTTGCATGTTCCCATTCACATAAAAATAAAAAAATTGCTGCTTACCTTTCAAAGTGCTTTTTACTTCCATAAGCCTTATGCTGCCACTGATGAATGGCATATGTCAGCGGTGTTGAGTTTTACACAGACACACCTGGCTGCTACAAGAGACGGGAATAACTTATACATTTTACTCCTGCGCTGCAACCAAGATAGTTACAAAAAATGTCCACTGCCCCGTCTATAACTGGCCTTCACAGCAATGAACACATGGACGGGCGACGCATGTCAAACAACAAAAGAGAAAAGTTTCCAGCTGCCAGCCAGCCTGCAAACAAACCGAATTAACCTGTCTAACAGTATGCGATAACAGTGGATATAGTGAATGCAAGGTCCAGGGAGAGCGGATATAGTGAATGCGGGGTGCAGGGAGAGTGGATATAGTAAATGCAGGGTCAAGGGAGAGCGGATATAGTGAATGCAGGGTCCGGGGAGAGCGGATATAGTGAATGCAGTGTCCAGGGAGACTGGATATAGTGAATGCAGGGTCCGGGGAGACCGGATATAGTGAATGCAGGGTCCGGGGACCGGATATAGTGAATGCAGGGTCCGGGGAGAGTGGATATAGTGAATTCAGGGTCTGGGGAGAGTGGATATAGTGAATGCAGGGTGTGGGGAGACCGGTTATAGTGAATGCAGGGTCCGGGGAGAGCGGATATAGTGAATGCATGTTCCAGGGAGAGCGGATATAGTGAATGCAGGGTCCGAGGAGAGCGGCTATAGTGAATGCAGGGTACGGGGAGAGCGGATATAGTGACTGCAGGGTCCGGGGAGAGCGTTTATAGTGAATGCAGTGTCCAGGAAGAGCGGGATATAGTGAATGCAGGGTCCGGGGAGAGCGTATATAGGGAATGCAGGGTGCGGGGAGACCGGTTATAGTGAATGCGGGGTCCAGGGAGAGCGGATATAGTGAATGCAGGGTCCGGGGAGAGCGGATATAGTGAATGCGGGGTCTGGGGAGATCAGATATAGTGAATGCAGGGTCCGGGGAGACCGGTATATATACAGTAATGGCCAAAAATATTGGCACCCCTGCTTTTTTGTCAGATAATGCTCCACTTAGCCCAGAAAATTGTTGCAATTACAAACGTTTCAGTATCCTCAAGTTTTTTTTTTTGTTTGTTTGTATTGGTATGACACAAAAAAAGTGGAGAATAAAATGCCAAATCTGACACATTCCACGCAAAACCCCAAAAATGGACTGGACAAAATTATTGGCACCGTCATTGTAATATTTGGTAGCATACCCCTTGGAAATAATAACTGAAATCAATGGCTTCCTGTAACCATCAATGAGTTTCTTCCATCTCTCTACTGGAATTTTGAAGCACTCTTCTTCCACCAACTGCTCCAGGTCTCTCAGATTGGAAAGATTCCTTTTCCCAACTGCTGTTCTGAGATCTCTCCACAGGAGCTCTATGGGATGGAGATCTGGACTCATTGCTGGCCAGTTCAGTCCTCTCCAGCGCTTTGTCTGAAACCATTTCTGGGGGCTTTTTGATGTGTGCTTTGGGTCATTGTCCTGCTGGAAGACCCATGACATCTGATGGAGATCCAACTTTCTGACACTGGGCCCTACATTGCACCCCAGAATTCTTTGGTAGTCTTCAGATTTCATAATGCCATGCACACAGTCAAGACACTTAGTACCTGAAGCAGCAAAGCAACCCCAAAACATCAGTGACCCCCCACCATGTGTGACTGTAGGGACTGTATTCTTTTCTTTAAAGGCCTCATGTCTTTTTCTGATAACAGTAGAATGATGGACTTTACCAAAAAGCTGGAATTTAGTTTCATCTGTCCACAGCACATTCTCCCAACAGGATTTTGGCTTCCTCAGCTAAGTTTTGGCAAACTCCAATCCTGGCTTTTTTATGTTTTTGTGTCAGCAGTGGGGTCCTCCTGGGTCTCCTACCATAGCATCTCTTTTCATTCAGATGGCAACGTATAGTGCAGGCTGACACCGTTGTACTTGGTGCCTGAAGGTCAGCTTGAATTTGTCTGGAAGTTGATCAAGGTTCTTTAGCCACCATTTGAACAATCCTTAGTTTCAAATTTTTATCACTTTTTCTCTTTCAACCACGTCAAGGGAGACAGTACATCAGTCCGGAAAGTCCGCATCTGGATTCTGCTCCCTGCTGTAACCCTATAACCTGCCGTCGAGCAACATCTGTGCCAAGCTGTACACCTTCATCTTGTCCTGCTTCTTCACCTGCCTGTGGACTTCCACTGACGCACATTCTACTGGACCAGGGGCGGACTGACCATTTTGAAACTTGGGCACTGCCTGAGGGCCCGGGTCAGTAGGGGGCCCCATGAGATGCCCCTAGTACCATTTTCATAAGCTTTTTTGAGTTTGGGCAAGGACACAAGGGCCCCATGATCCCCCATTGCCCGGGGGCCCCTTGAGTTGTTAGTCCGCCCCTGTACTGGACTGATCACAGGCACTCATACCTCACCTTGCTCCTGTGGCTATTGTCCCACTACCAGTGGCCCTCGAGCCAGAGCTGTACGGGAGGCCTGTCTCTTCACGCCAGGCTCTTTATCTAAGGAATGTGACAGGCACTGTCCTAAAGTCCTGGTCTGGAGAAGGATCGTTTACCTCCTTCACTGAGGATCTACCTATGGATGTTGGATGGCAGACAGCTCTTCGGCCATTGTAAGACCTGAATTGGGAGTGTAGTGTGTGCCTGCTCCTGTAAGCTAAAAAAAGTGTCCTATTGAATGCCATTATTGTTTTGGACTATCCTGTGGGTCTAAACCCCTCTCCTGTTCAAAGTTCTTTAGCAATAAATAGTAAAAAGACAGTAAAAAGAGCCTGTATTGTCAGTATACATGGACCTGAGCTCATGACTGACAGTCTCTCCTAGTAAGAAAGACCTGGGCAGGACCAGGACAAGGAGTGGGTGGGAGGGGTGGCTGCCCTAGGTGCAATGATTTACTGTAGAGTTGGATGCGCCTTCTTTCTGTTACAAGGCCAACAGGAGTAGTGACATCATCAGTAAATTTTGACATCAAGTGAGTGCCTGCTGGTGTAGGGATCCTATGCCCAGCAGTTACTTGCTTGTGATTTCTGGACATAGGATCCTAAGCTTACACATCATGAATGGGGGGGGGGGCTGAAGTTTGCCATCTTTGCACTGGCAAAGTGGCCCTGCCACAGCATTGGACCTGGGTATAATCTCAGTGGCTCCTCTGGGGGTAAGCACTACACTGAAACTGGCCAAGTGGGTGCTTAATATGGCCACATGGTTACTGTAGATTTTGGTTAATGACACTGTCCATATATGGCCTTATTAGGCCAATGATGGCACCAGCATCCCAGCCATTTTGTTACATGCAGTTGCAGAGCAAGAAGTCTTGGTGACACCATTCACCTAATATAGCCACATGGATATACTTGGTCAATGGCATTGTCCATTTTTGGACAATTTCCCATTTGGTAAATGATGTCACCAACATCCCAGCCCCTTTGTTATGTGTGGCTGTGGGGCAGGGAATTCCATGGCAGCAGCTTATTGGGCTGGCAGCTTGCTTGTCGTGTGTAAAGGTTTCCTGGGGATTCAAAATGAACTGAAGTCTGCCGACCCTAAGCTCATCCCTACTCACAATATGACAAAAGGTATTATTTTTTCTTTACAAGATGCAATTGTAGGTATTTAAGATAACAATGCTTGGGTGTAGAAAATATATCCCAAAGCTGTTTGGAAGTATTTCTAAAACTCATTATCTTATAATTGTATAAATCAGCTTTATTTTTTTAAACTTTTCTATAGCTTATAGATCTCTTCTAATTCCTACATCCACCCAGGGGTGGACTGACCATTTGGAAACTTGGGCATTGCCCAAGGGCCCGGGGTCAGTAGGGGGCCCCATGAGATGCCCCTGGTACCTTTTTCATAGGCTTTTTTGAGTTTTGGCAAGAACACAAGGGCCCCATGATCCCCTATTGCCCAGGGGCCCCATGAGTTGTCAGTCCACCCCTGCATCCACCGTTCAATTCTGGCCTATTACCAGCAGATAAAAAAATAGGTATCAGAGCCAAAAACTAATTAAAAATTAATTTTGTTTCAAGCTGTAATAAATCAGTTTTGATTGACTCAGTCATTGTCATTGTTTGAGTGATGCTGTATAGAAAAACAAGCAATAATGTAAAGGAAGAAAAACAATGATGTAATCAGAATGTGTGAGGCCAGAGGATGGTGTGGTTGATACTGTCTATGAGAATCAAGCTTTTCTGTAGCACCACCTACAGCTTAAAGGCATCTCCAAAACATGTACGTTAAAATTGGTGTCTTTTCCATGTTGCCCGCAAAGTCCAATTTAAAGGACCCTTTTTCGCATTAATATACTGTATGTTCCCCTATGGCAGTGACCAGCTCCCATTGCCCTATTTTATGACAATGCCTTGCAAATGGCCCAGTTCACTTCCTCCCTCGTAGATTTCAATGGGGTTTCAATTTTAAGTTCAGAATTTTTGGGCTTCACATTGCATTCAACAGTCTCCAACTGTAATGGACCCAGACACATTCGCTCATTCCTACCATGGGCCCACCCCCCTGAGAGGACATCATTGTGCTAGACTGGGCTCATAGTACTCCGGTACAGCATGTTGGTCACATGCCATTCCTTAAGCACTGCTCAGTCCAGCAGTAAGAGCTGCCCACCACCGCCACTGGAGGAAGAATCCATGACATCATTGGACTAAAGATGAACAAAACATTTTTTTTTACTCCACTCTGTCATTGGTCAGCTGATAGTGGTGGGAGGGTTCCTTTTACCCTCATTCTGACATTTCATTAGTATATAGGCCTGTGGCCAGCAGACACATCCCTAGCTCTGAGGAAGGGGGTACAGCTCCCGAAACGCGTTAGCTTATCCGCATCACTAGACATAGCCATATTGTGACTGTTTTTGTGGACCACCTTACTACTGCTTTTTATCACGTTGGTTTGTGAGTATATAATCCTTTTTTATTAATAAATACGTGGACTACCACGGTAATGCACGATGGGAGTGTGCCCTTGTTTGTTTTTTTTCCACATCATTGGACTAGCCGGAAGACTGAAGGATTTGAAGGTGCTGTGAAAAAAAAAACTGAGCTTTTTTTGGTTATGAAATGGCACGAATTGTGTCCAATTGAATTGATTATTGAGTCATTTGTAGGGTTGTACACAGTACATAACAGTGACAATGTGCCCCATTCATCGGTTGTAAAAGGAATTGGCTAAGGTATTGATTTGCGTTTGTATTCTGATGCCCCATTTTCATGTCAGCTTCAGGTACTTCATCTTGTACGTTGTTGAGTTGTTTTCCTGTGAAGATATATACAATTAATAATTTATTGTGCTGTCATGGTATATCTTATTCAAGTGAGCTCAGAGTGTCTCCAGCAGCCTTACACATCCATCATTCAGCCTTTAAAAAGTAAATCTACTTTTGTTGAAAAAAAATTAAACATTCCCCTCTGGGTGATCTATCTACGTTGCACAGATTTTTACAAACTTTGTAGAAGAGTCCTACCCTTTTCTATTCTGAAGAAAAAGCTGTTTGTTCCACAATGTCCTTGTAAGACAGATTCCTTAATGATATGGTCTGGTTCAGAAGCGTAACTAGAACCTTCAGGGCCCTGGTGCAAGAAGACATTAAGGGCCCCCCTGACCAATGGAGTCCTTTCCATTGGTCCCAGGGCTCTTTCCTCTGGTCTCAGGGCCATTTCCACTTACCCGTTACTTTAGTTGTGGGGCCATTTACTTTTCTGAGACTTTTGGTGCAATTTGAGAGCCATAGACTGCATTGTTAGATCACAAATGTTGCAAGCAAGTCACAAGCAACTTACAAGCAAGGATATCACAAGCAAGTAGCACGACATTGGAGTTGCAGCAGTGTGAACCAAGTCCATGTTTTGCAGTGGCCTCTTCCTGCCATCTTGGGGCCCCCCTACAGTGGCAAAAACACCAGGGCCCAGTTGCAAAATTGCAATCTTTGCGACCACTGGTCTGGTTCATTGTAACCACCTGGTGCACTCTATGCTGCATTTCACACCTGAGTGT